TATCATATCACTTCTAAAATTAATTCACGTGTAATATTTTACCTCCTCTATCCTTCTCCTTCTTCCTTTGCGACCTTTTCTATCCTTCTTTCTCTCTCTTCGGTTCTTCCTCTTTCTCTCTCTCGTATTCTCGGTGTTTTCCATTTCCTCCTCCTCCTCCTCCTCCTCTCTCGCTACCTCCGATTGCGCCTCTTCCTCCATCTCCTTATTATCTTCCTCTTCTTGCCTCGTCTGTTTGGTTTGCCCTTTGACCTTCGTGTGTTTCATGTGGTCCTTGAGGGTGGAGGACGACTCGACCACGTTGTAGGCCGTGATCACGTGCTGGTCCTGCTGCTGCTGCTCGACGCTCGGGGCCTCCGTCGTGGTGCTGGGGTGGGGGGGGGGTAAGAAAGTCATTGGCTATATACAATATATTGGAGGTTATACATATATAGAAGTATATGTCCATCTCTCATCACATCTCTCCTTCTTTCTCAACATGGTCACACACACACACACACACACACACACACACACACACACACACACACACACACACACACACACACACACACACATACACACATACACATACACACACACACACACACACACACACACACACACACACACACACAGAAAGAGAGAGAGAGAGAGAGAGAGAGAGAGAGAGAGAGAGAGAGAGAGAGAGAGAGAGAGAGAGAGAGAGAGAGAGAGAGAGAGAGAGAGAGAGAGAGAGAGAGAGCTGATGAACGGGTAGAACAGATAAAAACACGACATTACTAACCGAGGGGATGCAGAGTGTATAGATATTGGATATTTTTACCAAAATCCAACATAACTTCATGGTTTATATCATTAGGTTTCTCGAATGATTATGATAATTCTTGATAGATTGAGGCATTTTGTGTGATAGATTGTTGTCTATCAAAGGTTTTATGTTTTATTTTCTTCTGCTTTAGTGAAAGGCATCTATTTATATTTTTCCAATATTTTACCAATACTTCTTAGCGCTTTATACTAATTTCGAATTGTAAATATTCAGAGCTTCTTCATTAATTGATATAGTCTTCAAGCAAACATTCTTTATACTACTTGCTTGTCAAAAAAGTTCATTTCCGTATTATTACTATTATTACTACTATTATTTATTATTATTATTATTATTATTATTATTATTATTATTTATTTACTTTTACTGTGAATGCATTATAGCAAGCTGCATTATCTTTTTCGATATTTTTTACCTCAGAATATTGCAAGCTACATGTATTTTCCACCTGTTTACTGACTTCTCAACTCTCTTTTCTTGTTCTCATATATATTCTTTGATTTATCATTAATATTTTTGGGACAACACTACATAACTCTCTCTCCTGAACGAAAGGCGACTCTCAATCCAAAAACTTCACATAAAAAACATATTAACGGCACCTCGAAGGATCGAATTACGAACTAACGATACAATAACACTCAAAAAATCCTCTTTTACTCCAGTCGTTTTCCTATATACAATAAAAAAAGAAGAAAAAGAAAAAAAAAATAAAGAAAGGGATAGGGAGAGACAGGGTGGGTTATTCGCTCAAGGTGGAAAAAAATTTAAGTCGAAATAGCCATAAGTTACATTGAACTGGCATTTATGATAAGGGATAAACAGGGAACAATCCAATGGGCAGCGGATGGGGGTCGCAGCGTGGGGCCTTCAAGTTAGTTTTATTATTTTTTTTGCGATTTTTGTTCCGATTTATTTATTTTCTTCGAGTAAGCAGCTGTTTTGTTGTTGTTGTTGTCTTTTATCTGTAATTGTCTTATGTTTATACTATGCTCAACAAACGTTATTTTCCTCACACAAACGTTTTAGGAAAATGATCTTGTACGACCACGTGTTATGGAGTTAAGTTCGAAATTTTGGTTTCATTTATATAAAAAAAAAAAAAAACGTTGGCGATGGTCGGGTTCTGACTGTGAGAAATGAATTGCAATGACTTCATCGGCTTATCTTGCAAGATCTGCCCAGGAACCTCATTAATGCATAAACATGTGATCAACAACTGTCTCTTTTCTCTTTTCTCTGTTCTTTACGTTGGTATTTTTGTGTGTATAATGTGTTAGGGAGAGAGGAGGGATAGGGGGAGGGAGGAGGAGAGGGAGAGGGAGAGGTAGAGGGGGAGGGGGAGGGAGCGGAAGAGGGAGAGGAAGAGGGGGAGGGAGTGGGAGAGGGAGAGGAAAAGGGAGGAAGGAGAAGATAAAGAAAGAGAGAGTAAGAGAGAGATAGATAGATAGATAGAGAGAGAGAGAGAAAGAAAGGGGACATCTATAACCACACACAGACACACAAGCCAAAAAAGACAGCGACCGACAAACCGATAGACACGGCGATTTTCTCACCTGGTGGGCCTTCTTCCTCGCTGCCTGCCTCTCCTGGAACCGGGTCCTCGTTGCCTCCTGCGGCCTGGTCGAGGAGGGGCGGTCGTGGGCGCGGCGGTCGTGGGCGTGTCGGTTGCAGGCGGGGCGTCGGGATCTGCAAGAAGTCAAGTGTCAAGAGGCGTGACTGTCCACTCACAAGAAGAGGAGAGAGAAAGAGAGAGAGAGAGAGAGAGAGAGAGAGAGAAAGAGAGAGAGAGAGAGAGAGAGAGAGAGAGAGAGAGAGAGAGAGAGAGAGAGAGAGAGAGAAAGAGAGAGAGAGAGAGAGAGAGAGAGAGAGAGAGAGAGAGAGAGAGAGAGAGAGAGAGAGAGAGAGAGAGAGAGAGAGAGAGAGAAATGGATGGGGGTCTCAGCGTGAGTGTTCCTCTTTCTCTGCTTGCTTTGAAATATTTAGAAGTATATTATCAATGTGTCTATAATTCTGCTATGGTTCTTTTCCACTGTGATATTTCTAATGACGATGGTTATAATGATTGTAATGATAATAATAATAGTAGTAGTATCTAATAGTAACTATAATGATATTGATAATAATGGTAAGAACAACAAAAACAATGATAATGATAGTAATGATGATGATAGCTATAATTATAATAATTGTAATCACAACATCAACTACAACAACGATAATAATTATAATGATAATAATAATGATAGTAAGAATGATGATGATGATATTAATAATAGTAAGGATGATGATGATAAAGATAATAACAATAACGTGAACAACAACAAGAATATAATAATGATAAGAAGAATAAGAATAAGAAAAGTAATGGCAATGATAACAACAGCAATAATAGTGATTATAATAACAATAATAATGATAATGATAATGATAGTAAATCAGCAACAACAATGATAATTATAATGATAATAATGATGATAATAATAATATCTATATCTACCTGTACAATGATATACCAGACAGTTTTCCTATGTCTATATATATTTATCACACACACATAACTTTAATCCCATTAAACAAAATAGTAAGAGTGAAAAGAATATATAATGTCCAAGATTCCGTCACCGATCTGAACTACTGCACCGCTATTGCAAAGGCAAAATGAAACTTATAAACATAGACACACTGAGTGTTTCAAACTATTAACCGAAAAAAACGAGGAAATAATAGTAATAATAATATCACATTTGCTCTGTCGATGCAAGAATTTTATCAAGTTCACAGGGAGGGGGGGGGGCAAGGTAAGTGGGAGTAAGTGACTTATTTTCTCTGTCTCTTGTGTTGCCTATGCTGGGAAATTTCGGCTTACAACTTGCTCTGTTGAAGGTAGCAACACGCTTTGTGCTCCTCCCACCTGGGCGCCAGCCAGGCGGCAAGGCAGGGACATATTGTGTATATATTGTGTTTTGAAATACTTGTTATGTGCAGGGTATGGGATGTTGCAACCTTTATTCTAGGGCTCGCAAAACCTTCATTATAGAGCAAGACGGCGGTTTTTCTTTCACTTGTTGTTAGAAAAAATATATATAGGGAATATTAGAAATGTCGTCCCTGTGATTACAGCAATTGTAAATATTATTCTTCGCGAATGTATATATTTACACACACACACACACACACACACACACACACACACACACACACACACACACACACACACACACACACACACACACACACACACATAGGTGTGTGTGTGTGTGTGTTTGTGTGTGTGTGTGTTTGTGGTTTGTGTGTGTATTGTGTGGTGCAATGGTAACATTCTCGTCTTGCAATCTTGCTGACCCACGATCAAGTCCCTCGCCGCCAGTGGATGGTCACCCGGCCATACCTTGCACACAGGGGGTAATTATAAAACAAAGCAAACAGACAGCCTGTCACACCAAGAATAACCACTGTAACGAATAGAATTAAACTGATTTATCAGAGAAAGTTATTGCATTGATCTGTAGGTGAATATACATAGCAATTCAACAAAAACTATAACCAAAATCCTCCTTTGAAAATCAAAGTCTTCCACGCTATTGCAACAAAGAGAGAAAACACAAAAATCTTAATGACTTTTTATTACAGTTTTCTCTGTTTTCAGAAAAGATGTTTTTTTTTTTAACCATTATTCTTGGTTACATAGAACGAAATATTCTTATACATAAATCTACATCCTCTAGACTACAAAAATACAAATTAATGTTCTCTAAGAGTGGTCATATCTCGTATGATTGAGCTTACCTGTAATAATATTCCGTAAAAAACAACCATACCTGTGTAGGGTTAATGAGGGAGTTGCACGGACCTCAGTAACACCATGCAAAACAAAAACAAGGGAGAGGCGGGGGAGGGGGGAGGAGGGAAGGAAGGAGAGTAGGAGGGAGGGAAGGAGGGTAGGAAGGGAGGGAGGTAAGGAGGGAGGGTGGGGGAGAGGGAGGGAAGGGGAGGGGAAGAGAGCAGGGAAGGAGGGTAGGAGGGGAGGGAGGTAAGGAGGGAGGGTGGGGGAGAGGGAGGGAAGGGGAGGGGAAGAGAGCAGGGAAGGAGGGTAGGAGGGGAGGGAGGTAAGGAGGAAGGGTGGGGGAGAGGGAGGGAAGGGAGGAGGGAGAGGGAGGGAGGGAGGGGAAGAGAGCAGGGAAGGAGG